GCTGATTCTCTGTATCTTCCTTTTTAGCACGGGATATATACTGTTGCATATGTATGTGAAAGCGAGATTTGGAAGGTTTTCTCTGGGATTCAAAGTATACTTCGAACTTTCAGTTTATGGGGTTTCGGCTTTAGGGTTTATGGTTTTCCCGAGTGGATCCGATCGACTTGACAAGGTCTTCAATGGGTGTAGTCCTAGAACCCTAGAGGATGGTATCCTCTAGGTCGTGTTTACGAGATGCTACATTGCTACATCTATATAATTCCATCTTCGGAAGTTGGATTCCTCCATCGATATAGCTGCGGTAGCCGTGGGTGTTGCAGGAGCTCGACTTCTTGGATGTGTTTTGTGGATGGGGTGGCCTCCACCGAGCATTCCGCCCGGAACTCAGCCATCATCGACGACCACACATATTTGCTGACGATGTCGACTACATGGTGCATGATCGACGTACACATTCGATCGTGTTCATGCGTGTTCAAAACCACATGGAGACACACACTTTTGTGTGCTATATATTACATATATCATGAGAACAGACTATGCTAGAACTGCACATAGACTTTACAGACTCATGCAATATAGCTGATCATGTGTTCTGCCGAGGCCGCCGTGGCTACAGATCCTCACGGTTTGACATTAACATCAACGAGGACCACGATATTTGTACAGAGCCGCCCGGCTGATAAGTTACTCATTGATGCTGTGTTCGATGTCCACTCTTTTGCATCCTCTCCGGCCTAAGGGTGGGCCTCCTGGTGCTCTTACAGAGCTGTCTTCGTATCAAACCGGGGGGTCTGGCTTTCTTCGCGACTCCGTGTAGTGCCCACGTGTGGGTGGCAAGTGGTGTTACAAAAAAAACAATATGGGAGCCACGTGGTGATACGAGCCTCCAGGCTTGCAGAACGGGCAACAAGATCGCTTCTCGGAGTGCCCTCACCATTCTTCTGGCTTTGGCTAGGGGGGTGCATTGGGCATTGGAGCAGCCCGGCTCTAGTGTTCTACCATACCTTCGGGAGTTTCTATGCGTCACCCAAGCACCGTCGCAACGTTATGGTGATTATTTTCGGCCAGCAGTCAGTGTGCGCTTGAAGCTTGGTCGCACAATCATGCAGTCGAATCCTTTGCAGTGAGCATCTACACGCATACTTTTTGGGCACTACTGCAATCGGCCT